ATTGATCACGACGACATAGATTCAAAGTATCAATCTTTAGAAACTTAAATATGAGCTTTCTCTGTCGATGCAACAGCTCCTATCATACCAGTTGGGGTGAAACTGGTCCCAGTGATGTTGATGTAGACTGTTTTTGTATTTGATGCAGGCAGTAGGAGATGTATGAAACTTAAAGAGGGTTTGTTGTGATGCTGTATTGTGTGCACAGGAGACAGAGCTGTAACCAACAGCTGACTACAGATGCTGGAAGCAACGAGCTGATTTCAGGAACATTTGAAAAGTATTCATAGTTAAGATATAAGATAATCCTTTATGTATCCCACAATGGGGAAATTTACAGTGTTACAGCAGCAAAGAGCAAAGATTGCAAACAGAAAGTGAACACAGTATAATTTAAATAAAAAAAAAAAAAAATTAAGAATGTACAAAAAAATAGATAGATACTAAAAAATGATTTAAAAAAATGAAAAATGAAAAAAAATAGATCAGCTGAGCTGCAGTTTTGACAAAAATGTTGTCAGAATATTCCGTGTAACACAGACATGCACACAGTGCACATAAAGTATAACACGTTATTGAACAAAGTGGATTTGGTAAATATAATATAACATTAATATAACATTATTATTGCACAATGTCAGAGTGAATTGTCTGGTTGTGTGTGTGTGTTTTGTGATCTACTGGGAGCAGGCTTGGTTAAACAGTCTGACTGCAGCAGGAAGGAAGTTGTTGTCTTGTCTTGTCTTGTTGTTGTGTGTTGTCTTTGCATACAATCGCTGCTGCTTATCGAGGTCAAGGTTCAATTAGTTCAGATAGTTATATCCTTTTTTTTTACTTACTGTTAAATACTGAATAGGAACGCATCATTAATATCAATAACTCAAGGCCAAGTCGTTCATGTTTCTCCATCATGTTTTTTCCTCATCTGCTGTGATCATGAAATTTCATTCTGTGTGGTATGGAATCGTCTTTGAAAACTTGAATCTTACTCGGTGAGCACTGCAGGCAGACAACACCAGAGACACGTCGGCTGTGTGACGGCGGTGACAAGTTTCTAAACAGAGCATGATGGGCGTTTTGACACCCTGCGACCCCCGAGGGGGCGACACTGACACTTTCTTCTGACATCTGACACATCAGCTTCACGCAGCTCTGACACTCCTGCTCTGCTTGCTCTCTCACACACACACACACACACACACAAACACACACACACACACACACACACACACACACTCTGATACGGTCGCACGCTCACGTTATACTGTATGCTCACAGAAACACTCCCTTTCACGCTACATGAGTAGAATACGCTGCAGCATATTCAGTCATCCCTACGTGCATACAGCATAAAGACAGTCAACCTTGGCATATGCACACACAGAAGTTAACACACACGCACACACAGACCTGCGAGCAGTCCCATGTTCCTGCAGACGGAGAGTCAGAAGCTGTTGAGGGTGAAAGGAGCGTCCCCGTCCATCTGCCCCTCTCCTCAATCTGCCCTATAGCTGCACGAGCATGATTAATGAGGTAGTTAGTATTAACACACACTTTTTAAACCCTGACTCTACATCTGTGAATGAACACAAAAGTTGGTTCTCTAACGGCCGAGGAGACAAGCTCGGGTTGGTCTTTTAGAGAATCTCATCTGAAAATAAAGAAAACCCACAGAGAGGAAGAGATTGTGGATTAATGCTGTTAGACGCTCCGTTGTCCCTTGAGGGAACAAAATAACGGACTTCTCCTAATCCTGCCATAAAATATTGTGTTTAACTTTGTTACAGCCTTTAGACTCACATTACTGCCCCAGAACGCTGACCGAAAGTGACAGCTGACACTGATCCTCATATTATCGTTAGGTAACATTAACTAGCTGATGCTAGCTCATTAGCACTCACTTATGCTTTGATGATGAGGAATGTGTTTGTCTTCACCTCCTAAAGGGAAGCATTACTGACCCAGCCACATCAAAAATACATAAAGCCATGCATAGTTTAAGCAGATTTTAACCTGATTGCTCTGTGAGGGGAAGGACTCCCTAAATATATATAAACTGGTATAGGTCTGTATGCTGTATGAGGGACTTGTGTGCCCAAAACATGCAGTTTATCTTTAAAGCTTATATTCAGTCTTTGTGACCTCCAGGCCTCTGTGCCAGTCACGTAACTGAAAGCTATGAACTGTCTACTTTTATACGGCTAGGCAAGTTTATTATATACAGCAAAGTGCTTCACGCAATACGTCAAGAGCATCATGACAACGCAAATTTCCCCTTGTGGGACAATAAAGAATCTGAATCTGAATCTGACAGAAGAAAATGAAACATTAAAATAGAAAATTAAAAAGTGTCTAAAACAAACAATTCACAATCAGAGAGAAGATTCAATCTGAAAATATGTAAAAAATAAATAAATAAATAAACAAAATAATTAAAATTAAATTAATTTAAATTAAGGAATAAAAGCAGTAAAAAAAAGCTAAAATATAAAAATAGTTATATGAAGAATTGTCAAGGTTACAGTGTAGAGTTCAAGTTTAAAATAAATGTATTAAAACAGTTTAATGACTAGAAGATGGTAACCAGGTGAGTCTTAAACCTCGATTTAGAAGAGATGAGAGTTTCAGCAGACCTGCAGTTCTCTGAGTTTGTTATTGATATACGGAGCGTAGAAACCACCTGAACGGTCTGGATGGTTCATAGTTTGTCGCTAGTTTTTCATGCAGTCAGAAATGTATCTTTGTCATGCATGTGCAAATATCTGCCTTAATATATATTTGTATTATATATTAAGTTATTATATTGTTTTAAAGAGTTAAACAACATTTTTTCATGGAAGTGGAAAGGTTTTATAATTGTTCTATGCTTCCATACTAGAAGATGGGAGTGAAAAAAAAAACATCTGTTTTACAGAAGAAGGAGACACGTCAGAGTTTAAAAATACGGACAGAGCGGCACAAATTTTCTGACAGCTTCTCCTGGAAAACATTCACAGTTTTGTGCTCTGTTGTTCCTGTGAAAAGTGACAGAAATAGTCGTGTCAGGAATGAAAAAAATAGCGACAGGGAGAGAAGTTGAATCCCTGGCTCCTTTCTCACCTCTGCACACAGTCGCTTTGAAAAGGCGTTACAGAGAGGGCCTCCGCCGCTGGGAAGGTGTTGGAGGACGGGGTTTGATTTTCCAACATTTTAAAATCTATAACATCATGTAGCAGTTTTAACAAAGTTGGTGTTGAAGATGTTTGTATCGTTATTCCCTTTCAAGCTCATAAAGGTGGAGATCTAACAGCCCAGCTTCACAACCTGCTCTCTGACCTTGGCTGAACGCCTGCAGTTTCTTCACCTCAATTTAAGTGAAAGATATTGATGTTTAAACAACATTTAATCCACTCCCTGCCTCTTCAACGTCGTAGTAAAACGACGTAAAGACGGAGAGGACAAACCTCTAGTGGAAGTGACTCCTTCACAGGAATAATGAAGCATGACTTTCATATCAAATGAAGTACTGCTTTCCTTATCAAATTCTAACTTTATGACGGACTCAAGGTCACATTATATAAAACATTTAACCCCTCTTTTTCAGCCCTGCTCAGAACAGGCTGTTTTTGTGTCTGTAGCTTTTTAAATGATTTTTGATTTAAAAATTAAATTGTACATTTCACAGCTTTCATAAACAGAGCCTGATTCTGTGTCTGAGCTGCTGACACTGCTGTTATTAATGTCATTACTGTTGTACTTAGCTTACTCTTTGACTTAACTTATAATACTTTTATTTATCCTTATAGTCACTGTTTCTTTGAATTTAACCTCCATCCTCTTAATACTTGAATAAACTTGTTTATTTCAGGTATATCTGATACACTTTCGCGTTACTGTTTTTATACTTTAATGGCACCAGAATTGAACTTTTATCTTCTCTTTAGTGAAGTGGATGAAAGAAAGTGAATATTGATAGTTAACTTTATTTGGCACTTTCAATGCAATGCTGTATAACTCTGTGGCTACTCACTGATGTACATTGAACCACAGCTGCATGAGTCTCTGTGAACAGCGCTGAGCAGATATTGCATGAATAAGTCCGACTCTAAAGATCTACTTCAGTCTCCGAGGGCTTCATTGACCCAGTCATCAGAAAAAGTTAGGAGGAGTTTCATTTGAATTGCAGTAATTTCTACTTTTTTTTTATCAACTTTTCGCACTCCGGGTCAGACTGTGCAGCAGCTGCTCCAGAGAATCCTCTAGTCATTGTTGAGAAGTGAGCCAATTGTTGCTTTGGAAACATGAACCTGGGGAGGAAAGTGAAACAACAGTATTTGTCCCCCCCTCATTCCTGCTGCTGAGCTGCCCTCCAGCAAAGCACTTTAACCCCAAACTGCTCCAGAAGAGTTGCCGGGTGGCCTACAGAAAGGTCTCAGTGAGCATGTATAACTGTGTGGGTGTAAGTGCAGCCTGCCCCTCAGCAATACTTCCCTGGTTTAATGAAAAGTTCAACTGCAAAACTTTCTGATACTCTTGTCTAGTATTGATTGCCCTTGTGCCAGTGTGGTGCTAGAAATAGAAGGAGGAAAGACAGTCGGGCTCAAGCTAAAGTTTATGTTCATTATCAGTTCATCTCGAAACTATTTTCTCTACAAGTCAACTTATCAGTTAATCACTTTTAGAAAAACGATCAGAAAAGGTTTCCAGGAGAAATCGTCTTGTTTTGGGATGCCAACGGTCCAATCCCAAAGATTTTCTAATTTACTTTTTTTAGTGGCAAGAAGAAGAAGAAAAAAATCTCCTCGTAAGAAATTGGACTCTGCAAATCCAGGCTGCAGAGTTTAAACAAATCCATAAACTTTCTCCAGAACTGCATTCACCACCTTTAAGAAGATCTTTGCAGAGCCGACAGATTATGAAAAAAGGAACATACTGAGATAGTGTTTCTCTAGGAGATTTTTTTCTGGGTTCAGAACCATTCTCTCGCTTGAATTTATTTCTATCTTCCTCCCTCTGTTCAGGCGCTGGCCCTCCGGCTGATCGGACCGTGGTGATTATAGAGTACCGCTTCTTGTCTCAGAAGCTGTTTGCAGCCGTGTCCGTCTTCGCTGGACTCGGCATCCTGCTCGGCATCGTCTGTCTAACCTTCAACATCTACAACGGCAACGTCCGGTGAGTCTGCTAACGCTGAAAGAGAATGAAGTCCTGCTCTAACATCTCATTTGCAGGCTTGCCATTGAAGGATTACTGTTATCCTCATGATGTAATTATTCAAGCTGCAACAGTTAAGCCTGTTAATCAATATGATAAAGAAAAAAAGACTCTTTCAGCAGACATGACATTATTTAAACCTCTGAGATTTTACAGTTTCCACTTTACTATTTTTAAAATATGTTTTGTTGGGTTTACCTTTTTTTGAGTGGATAGAGTAGGAAATTGGGACAGAGAATGACATGCAGGGAAGGAGCAATAGGTCAAACTCGAACCCGAGCTGCACGCCCGGAGGACCATAGCCTCCGTACATGGGGCGCGACCTAACCGCTAGTCCATTGCTAGTTTCCACTTTACTAGATTTATATTGAAGTAAACTTTGACTTTTCAATATTGTTGGTTGGACAGGAGAAGACATTTAATGGCACACTCTCGGACTTTAAGATTTATAAAGAATATTTGTGTGTTATTTGGTGTTTTCTAGATGCAGAATTTGTTATATATAAATGTTATATATATATATTATAATTCAATTAAAGATGGGGTGTGTGATCATAATCTGGTACACTTTAGTCGGTTTCAGTGAATATCTCCTCATGGTGTGCTCGCGTTGTTTTCATAAAGACATGTGCTTTTACTGGCCTCGACTCTGTCAATAAGAAAAACATTTAGTAAACAAAGTGACTTGGACGGAGCGACACAACATGTTTGAAGCAGCAGGAGGCGTTCACAGACTGATCTGACCCTTCACTCGTCCACGTCCTCGCTGCAGAAGAGCAGAGCTACCCCGTCATAGTTATTCAAATTGCTTCTCCTGTGGAGACTGAGACTTATTGCATATCTCGTTATTAGTTGGTTGTTTGAGACTTTTTTTTTTAGTCCTTAAATATTGGGGTCAGTGCTTCTGAAGGAGCTCTAAATCAATCAATCATTATTTGTATAGTGCCAAGTCATAACAAGAGTTCTCTCGAGACGCTTTACAAAAAGAGCGTATGGGCTGAGCAAACCTGCATGATTCACGGCCATGTTTCTCATGTGGCCTTACTGACTCTGTTTTTCTTCTTCCTTTTTATTTATATTTATATTACCTGTTTTTTAAACTCACTGTCCTGTGTCCATGTCCAGTTGTACTGTCTACCTCTTGCAAATGTTTTCCAATGTGGTTTTCATGCTACGAATGGCAATAAACTGAACTGAACTGAACTGAATATGCAGGAAGGATTTCTCCTTTGTATTCCACTCGTTCCTGTTGTCCACACTTCGTTACCGCTGAGGTGGAGGTCGGAGCAGGCGGTGCATGAATGAGGTCGGCCGTGGTTGTGGGTTGTGTCAGGCGGTGGTTGAGACGACACCAGCGGACAACTTTCAAGTGGCTGTTTACAGTGTCCGTATATCAATCAATCAATCAAACTTTATTTGTAGAGCGCTAATTTATAACAAACGTTATCTCAAGACACTTTAAAAAAGAGCAGGTAAAAATACCTGACTCATTGTTGTATTACAAAGACCCAACATTAATCCATCATGAGCACTAAGCAACTTTTAGCAAAGTTACAGTGGCAAGAAAAAAAACGTCCTTTTAAGAGGCAGAAACCTCGAGCAGAACCAGACTCATGATGTACCGCCATCTACCAAAACTGTGCTGGGTTTCCCCACCAACGATCCAGAGGAACCTACAAGACAAGAGAGCTCAGGAGCTCCCAGGCAAAGTGTGCTCAACATTTTCATCACCAAACCATCTTTATAAGAATCTCTGAATATGAAAGAGAATAATACTAATAATGTGTTTCCCTGAGAGCTACGACGCTTAAACTCAAAGCCATCTGCTCAAGTGAAATATTGGACTGTTGTTGTTTGGCTTTTTCTCTCTTCATGTTTGTCCTTCCAAGAGGCATTATGGATGTGCCATATTTGGGATAATTGTAAAATAAAGTTGTCCTCCGCGGAAGGAGGTCATTGTTAAAAGGATTTTTTTTAAAAGGCTGACAATAATGAGAACTGATAGATGAATTTAAGTGGGCGTCAGAGGTTGAAAACATGCTTTGGTTACATGAAGGTCACCTGTTTAAGGAGCTGCATTGGCTCTGAGTGGTGAAATGATTTCATGTAATAACCTCCATCTGCTCCAGCAGAGCTGTTCAGACGCAGCACACTGTTGCTCTCTCTTGTGTGAGTACGAGGGTTTTAAGGATACGAGAGAGAGGGAAAAAGATTATTTCTTTTTTCAAAAGAGATCCGTCTCTCTTTTGAGGTTCCTGTAAACGCCGAACGGCACAGCTGGGTTTTGAGTTTTGGGACTACAAAGTTAGCGATTTGGGTGTGGCTTTTTCTGGATCCAGCAGCTGCCTCCATTGTCGCAGTTTAAGCGTAGCCCCAAACCAAATGCAAATAGACTTAAAAAATGTCTTTTGATCTCGGATTTCTAAGCTTAATACATGTCTGTGAACCCGTTGAAGCATATCTCTGAAGTCTTTAAACATCGTATTTTTATGTTTGACCTGAGTCAAAGTGATTTAAAGTCCCATAAGTCCACAAGCTTATCAAGAGTTTTTGGGGAAAGCTGGAGCGGTTTGTTCCTTTGGGGATCTCGGGCTGGCTCCAATGTGCCAGTTAGGCCCTCTTCCAGCTTTGATTATATTTCAAACAGAGTTTCACCGACGGCTGCTCTCTGCAGCCAAAACACTCTGAGTCAGATCAAATCAAATCAAATGTATTTGGTAAGCTGTTTTTACAAAACAAGTTTGCTACCAGCTGTCTTGTTAGGAGACAAAATACATAACCAGTTCACGTTTAGAACAAGAGGATCCTAACACAATCACAATCTTGAGACTGAAACACTACAAAACCAATTAAAGCAGCTGTAATGCACGATTTTAAAACAAATGATTTGAAGAGGACGTATTATACACCTGTTGCACCTTTTCAAACAGTCCCCTGTGGTCTAAATGAAACATCTGTGCTGGGTTTTGTTCAAAATATAACATGAATCAAGCACCAGAGGAGGTTTGTGACTCTGTATAAACCAGCTCTCTCAGAACGCTCCGTTTTGGTGTGTGTGTCTCTTTAAATACAGTGAGCCCCCTCTGAGTTTTCCTGGTAGAGATCACTCCTCTGTAGCGAGAATAAAAATGGCGGAACTGCTCAAAAGTTTTGCTCTAGGCTGGGGGTGGAGTCCATGGGTGGAGATACCAGGGGAGGAGAGGGTATTTTCTTTTTAACCAGAATCCCACTCTGACATCACAAGGAGAGGAAATTTGGGTGTCAGGAAGCAGCCAAAGAACCAGTACCTGGTTGCACCAGCTTTGCATAAGTTCTAACACAGTTTTGTTTGGATGGAAGTTTTGACTTAGGACAGAGTTTACTCTCTACTAACAACTTAGCTGAGATAGTTCCAACAGAAGATATAACTTTGTACACTTAGCTCCTATTAGGTGCAAAATTGTCTGTAAAATACGGTTGTCATGGTGTTTCGTTTTGAAATGTGGGATAACCTGGAGGATGAGGAGGAGCAGAGGGTGTTTTAGAAAAAAAAAAAAAAATCCTACAAGTTTTCAGGAAAACCCCCAAAACCTACAGAAAGAGATGCATTTCCCCTCTCATAATAGCCTCCATTGCCCATAATTCAAAGCGTCCGCAAGACATGGTGCCTAACAAGGGAAGAAAGCAGACCCTCACATCAGAACGAAGACTCCTGCTGCGCGGTATACATCATATATTCATGGTGTGTAACAGCATTAAAGGCTTTCAGAGGTATCAAAGGTTGGATTGGGGCCAGTGTGTGTGTGTGTGTGTGTGTGTGTGTGTGTGTGTGTGTGTGTGTGTACGTTTATGTGTGTTTGTATGCAGGCAGCATGAGTGTGAGGCTGTACGCTAAATAAGTATTGTGGCCTCAGGGCAATAAAAGGGCAGCTCAACGGTAGCATATATACTGCTGCAGGACGAGCTTCAGTCAGTGGGTGCAGATTATGTTGAACACACAGGTCAAATATGGAGTGTTGAGGACATTTCAATACTAGCGTTTAATCATATACTGTATATATTTATTTTTGGGCTTTTTATGCCTTCATTTAGAGACAGGACAGTGGATGGACTCAGAAATCCGGGAGAGAGAGATTGGGGAGTTACATGCAGAAAAGGGAAGTTGGATTCAAACCCGGGCCACACACTTTCCAGGACTTAATCCTCTGTACATGGTGCGGGCGCCTTTACCACTAGGCTACAGGCTAGAGGTACTGGCAGGAGAAACTCCGGGTAAAGGCCTAGTGAAAAATGCGTCTGTTTGTGTTCACACATACATACAGCTCCTCCTGGGAATATCAGGAGTGTTTCAGGAGATTTCTGCAAGTGTGAAAGTCCTATTAATCTCCAAAGACTCTTTATCTTCTCCCAGAAATGACAAAAGAAAATGTTCAAACCTTTTTACTTGTCAAGAAGCTGGAGCAAGCCAATGTTTCAACTGTACTTGCAATATAACCCATAAAATGTTTAACAAGTGGATGTTTCACCCGTGATAGTCATTAGTGTAATGACTTCACACTAATTAAGCTAATGACTGTCAGTCACACGTTTGAGGAGATCCCCCGGGGGGACCAGTGTTCCATATTTGGACCTTTTGTTTAGTAGTGTGTCAGAAAACTGGCAGACTGTCTTAACCAGGGGAAGAATAAAATATTTTTTTTTATTTTTAAAAAACATCAGGAGGGCAATTAACATCAGTTGATGACATATCTAAGTGACAGCAAAAACACCAGCACACAGACAAATTCACAAATTGTACCTTTAAGCAGAAACTCATAATTACCCGTGTTTTTCTAAACGTGTGTGTTCTCTGTCTTTGTGTGTGTGTGTGTGTGTGTGTGTGTTTGTGTGTGTGTCCCTGTGTGAATCCGTCCCTCTCTTTCAGCTACATCCAGAACTCCCAGCCGTACCTGAACAACATGACAGCGGTGGGCTGCATGATGGCTCTGGCTGCAGTGTTCCCGCTGGGGATTGACGGTCACCACGTCCTCCGCTCACAGTTCCCCGTCGTCTGCCAGGTAACAGAAGAAAGAGACATCGACAGGGAGGGAGAGGCAGACATGAAAGAGAGAGGGGGGGGGAGAGAGAGAAGGGTGGTTGAAGAGCCAGAGAACAGGATGAAGAGTAGAGACTGGGTGTTGTTTGCAAACATTAAGACTTGATTCTCCCACCAAAACAACTCAATATGTCATCACAAGAAAAATATTGAAGTGTTTTTTTTTTTCCTACATTTTATGGATTTCTTCCTGTTCTTTACCAGAATCAAGAACTTAAATTGTAAATTCTTACTCCATGTCTTGGCTCAACTAAAATAAAAATTATTTCATCATATTGCAGTCAAAAATGGAGTGTTTTAAACATGTTGTTAGAACGATTTCATTTTTTTTTAAAAAGGAACGTTTGGATGATTGACAGCAGCTTGCAGGCTGAGCAGCTGCAGAAAATGAAAGGGGAAAATAAACTTTGCCG